CTAGAAATGAGCAAATGCAGAAATTACACCACTCTTGGTACAAGCCTTTAATATCTATTATTTAATGCTGAAGATAATTAATTTCCTTTTTTACTACAGCCTATACAGTTTCATATAGTACTATGACATTGAAAACATAAATAAGCTGATAAATAAATGTCCTGAGTACAGCAGCAGTCTGATAACTAAATACTTCATTCTTAAACTCAAAATGTCCTTATCAGTGAAGTATTGAAAATCTTTCTTGGGCTCTCCTAGTTCCAAAGGTGACAGCTGATTAGTCTAATTAGCAATACTATTAAAGACAAACCCAATAACATTTAGATATTTTTAACATTTACAGCTGGGTACCCACCAATTGGGTTTATGTTGAAAATGAAATCCCTGTGCAGCAGATAACCTCAAGATCATTGCAATCATTATACTTGTAACCTTATGCATGTACTTTCGGTGTAACTTAGTAGTTACTCAAAGCACCAATGACCTCACATCTGCAATAAGATATTTGTGTTTAAAACCCTTCTTTTGTTAACAATACGTCCTTGTAATTCTGACATAATGCATAGACGGCCGGTAGCAACTAATTCATTTTCTGATGAGAGAAAAGCAAGAAGGGAAATTCATCCAGCTGCTGGAAGAGGGGGCTGCATGGGAATGAGAAATGTAACATCTGTTATATGGCTATAAAGAGAGCTCTGCCAGGGGAAACTGACAGGGAAAGAAAGAGAAAATTGTTTTCTTCTTCTCTTGCTGCAGTATGATGCCTTGATTTCAGCTGCAATAAAGGCCTGATGGTCATTTCACCTCTGTAGCCTGGACTCTCATTCTTTTCCTGGTTCCTTAATCACAACACTAGATATGAGCTTTTTAAGATCAAAATTGCATTGTAAATGAACTGTAGGCCAAAATCCCACAGCCATCCTTGAACAATAGTTTATATACAGTACAGTATATATCTCAGACAAGAAAAAAAAATCAAGTCATCTTTTCTGTGTAATTGGGTCAGAAGAGTAAAAAATGTATTGCTTACTTATTTTTTATCATACCTGTATTTGGGGTGGCTCTGTGCCTGTGACTGGAAGATTGCTGGTTCAAATCCCTCAGCCAGCAGAGGAATCCAATTCCATTGGGCCCCTGAGCAAGGCCCTTAATCCCAACTGCTCCAGGGGTGCCATAGCATGGCTGACCCTGTGCTCTGACCCCAGGCTCTCTCCCTGTCTGTGTGTCTCATGGAGAGCAAGCTGGGGTCTGCGAAAAGATCATTCCTAATGCAAGAAATTATAAAGGGTTAATAAAGTGAAGTTGTTATAGATTATTGTCTGGGTTTAAATATTTGCTGTAAATTTTATGGAATACTGCTGATACTCTATATTCTTATTCATTAAGAAGCAGAAATAAATACAGTGAAAATAAGAGGATCTGGATATTATAAAAATTGTTTTTTCCCCTCATGAGCGATATTGATATTTTTAATCACAACACTAGATATGAGCTTTTTAAGATCAAAATTGCATTGGATATGAACTGTAGGTCAAAATCCCACAGCCATCCCGGAACAATAGTTTATACAGTATACAGTACAGTATATATACTGTATGGAATAACAAACAAAATGATTTTTTGCACCATATATAAGAAATATAATTTAACACTCTCAAATGAGGTTTTGCTTCTCTGTTTATTAATATAGAAAGCATTTCTATCAACATTACGTGACAAATATTTTATTTTATAGAATCACTTCTATAGGTGCAGCATTATCCTTGAATAGTTCATCTTCCTGAATGCCTAAGAATCCTCTAATTACTGAATGTAATTTCTTACCATCAGAAGCAGCAATGCAATTTCTTCGTTAAAAATATTCCATTAACTTTTGAGACCTCCCTATTCACACAGGTGAAAAAAGCAGACTTGGGCATGTACTGTGGTTGTTTGATTTAAGGCATAGGGGAAGATGCTGATCATTTGGGCTCCATTCAGTAGCAGTAACAAACATGTCAAGCCCAAGGGAAGTAGGAGAAACATTTAAATGTGAAACCACACAGAGTGGGTTAAAGTACAAAAAGAGCCAATGGATGACAGTGAAGGACGTATTCCAGTCAGAACACTGTGAGTATTATCAGCTTTGAGCAGGGAGGTGCAAATATTTTATACATTTTCATTTGTTTTCAGTGGTGTTTGTAACAGGTCTTTAGAAGGTTTGTGATATACAAATTAAAGATCAAAGTCTACTGCACTTCTACAGTAGGAATAACTGTAAAG